TCAAAATTCGCCTCACAAAAAAAATGTGGCTGATATGTAAATCCTACTATGTATCTAAATAATTTGGGGACAAATCGTCACTAGCAGAGGTGCAATAGTGTTTTATTTTTTGGTAATGATTTGCCACCAACGGGAAATAATCACGTACCAAACACACGTGACGTCGTTGTATAAAAATTCAATATTTTCATGTAAAAAGTTGTATATTCAGAGAATTTTTTTAAGTCACGAGAAATATGTATATTAGGTCAGAGTTTTTGCCTTATTTCCCATTGGGGACAAAACGTCGCAGTAATCATTACCTAAAAATATAGGACACTTTAAGTACCTCCACAGGGGACGATTTGTTGCACAACTACTGATGTTTAGAGTGTAGTGTTTCTCCTGGTGAGTCATTGATTAATTTACAAGTGACCCATCTCTTTTACAGCTCACCATACGCCGGTGTAGGTCATGGCGAGCGAGGTAAGCTCATTATTACCATGCCGGCAGGATGGGAACGTGCATATACTACTTTGTCAGAGAGAAACAATTTCTTATGCCACCCACCCACCCTCCTCTTCCTACTTATACTTCCCCAGGGAAAATGAGATTCTAAAGGAAGAACTGTAGTAACTTGGGCGGTGAAGCCGCATTGAGAGACACGAGAGCCGGTAATATTCGTCTAATTTTATTTTGTCCAGCCTCTTTTTCCACCACCGTCACCACTTTGCTTCAGTTTTATCAATTTCCATCCCAGCCAGACAGGTCAGGCGTGTTAATAAATTAAATGGAAAATAATTTTGGCATTCTAATAAAGAATATTAACAATGCGATGGTGTGAAGTGTAACCCTCCGAACTGGCTGAAATTTTGAAATTAGGTGGTCCGAGTCAATACAACTAACGTTTCTTCAGCCAGTTTGTGCGATGGTTAGAGTTACTCAAAATATTTGAGGTCAAAGTTGAAAAAACGGCCGACTTTTTTCAGGCTGAGTGAGAAAACTCCACTTCTATTCTCTTCCGCTCGCTTTGATTTTCACTCCGAAAAATAACTCATTTCAACATTTTAAATTTCATTTATTATAGAAAAATGTTAATTATTCATTGCACATGTGACCATATGATTATTTTCATAAAAATCCACAAAACAATACGATAAACTGCACCAGCTGCATCTGATGAATGTTGGATTGCCACAATTCAGGGTGCAACTAATATTTTTTTCTCTAAAACAAACTTCGCTTACATTTTTAAACCCGGGCTTTTCGTCATCACCCCATAATCCGCTGGAGTACCAACAATATCGAATCATTGGAACAAACACAGGAGCACTTAAAATATAATGAGCCAAAGAGTTTAATTTTAAAGCACCGTTACGCGAATTTAATTTAGACGCTTCTCCTGTTTCGTTTAAAGCTTCATAAAAGTAAAATTTTTAAAAAGTCGGCCGTTTTTTCAACTTTGACCTCAAATATTTTGAGTAACTCTAACCATCGCACAAACTGGCTGAAGAAACGTTAGTTGTATTGACTTGGACCACCTAATTTCAAAATTTCAGCCAATTCGGAGGGTTACACTTCACACCATCGCATTGTTAATATTCTTTATTAGAATGCCAAAATTATTTTCCATTTAATTTATTAACACGCCTGACCTGTCTGGCTGGGATGGAAATTGATAAAACTGAGCTTCCGGATTTTTATGTTTTGTTTTAGCACACCTTGGATATTTACAACAGGTTATTTTCAGTGTCCTTGGTGGTGGTGACCCCCACGGCTGGGTCACTTCATTTGAAGGCAGGGACACGTGGAGGCTGGAAAATATTAACCCAATGTATTTAATGTCTTAATTCAAAAAAAAATTGCTCAAGTAATGTTTACAGTACGTGTGCAGGTGTATTATATAATTTAATGTGCAAATAGATATGTGTACTTACCATGTACTGCCGAGGGGTACACTGTTTAATTGCAAGTAACTTTTTTAAATAATTAATTGAAGAAATTTAAGCTGGCTAAAAATCGACCGGACTGGAACTGTATTTTTCTTTGCCACGCAAAGGAAACCATGTGGTGGTGATTGAATTGCATCAGCTTTTTCTCATGCTGAAACTGCACACAGTTATTTGGCCGATCTGTTATAGCCGCCCATTTGCAGGAAGAACAAAATAATATTAAGCTCCGCTGGTTGGCTGCTGAGCTCTTCCATAAGCTTCACTCAAATACATTGCATGAGTCGTTCCTCTTCCCCTAGTTTATTTCATATTCCATGATACTTCCCCCTTTTCCTACTAACAAGGGAAGGTCCCCGACTGCTTATCGAGTTAAGCATTCTCATTATATACATTTAATGCCCTATCTAATACTAGTGACCCAATCTAATAAAATTTTCGTGTAAAAATCACTTTTGGTCATGATATGACGATTTTTGTAACGCATGAAATCACACTTTTCCATGCAACTCGTCTCCGCCACTAGGCTACCGACCGCTCGCCTTCTTAACCCTTTACACCATTTCTCTCCATCTTACAACTAGATTATTTATATTTTAAATTGCATAATTGCTACATACTTACCTTCAAAATTTTTTTTGGCAATATTAATTTTGACGATTAATGTGATTATGATTTTCAATGAAGCGTATTAAATCCAGCTCACTGACATGAAACATGGAAAGTCGGGCACTATTAAATCTATGAATAACAAAATCTTCAATCTCCTTAAATTTATTTGCAACAGTGTTCTTTTTATTTACATATTCACGCATTCTTAAAATTGTAGAGTGATATAAAACTTTTGTATAACGCCGTTTCGTCTGGTCTAGCTTACGTTTCTTTGCCTTGTCATAAAATGATAAAATGTTCACCATTTCCTGATAAGTGAACTTAACGTTGTCAATGACGCATTCCTGCCACTCTGTGGAACTTACTGGGAAAGTTCTTCGGAATTTTCTTCATCCTTACTAATCTCGTTGTCACTATTTTCGTCAACACTTAAAGTTTCACTAATATTGTTGGATACGTCTGTAAATGTTGATTTCTTCACCTTCAAAATCGTACTCTAGGCATGTGGTAGTTTCCAAATCCACTAATTTGTCACTGACCATATCGTCAATTATATGGATAACCTTTTTAGCAATCTCCATTTTATTTGGGAAGTCCACCGCGTCACCACATTCCCCATACCTGTCTTTTGCTAACCGAAGCACTGTCTCACAAATGCTAATTATTTTTGCCATTATTGTTCAATTGCCAAAATTATTAACAATAAATCCCCTATTTATTAAACAACATTATTTCTAAAAGCAAATTAAATATTGCAATTCATATTAATGACAAGCGAGCACGAGTCAGCTGGAAACCGCTCTCAGCCGGCTGAGTGATGGTGACGAGTTGCATGGGTAAAGTGTGATTTCATGCGTCACAAAAATCATCATATCATGACCAAAAGTGATTTTTACACGAAAATTTTAGTAGATTGGGTCACTAGTATTAGATAGTGCATTAATTGTATATAGTGAGAACCCTTAACTCGATAAGCAGTCGGGGACCTTCCCTTGTAAGCTGAATACAAGTTAAGACAGACGACCCGAAGCAATGTACCCACCGTTTTGATAACGTAATATATGGACGTTCCCTAATTACTCCGGGCTGAAATTTGATTTAATACAAGTTTCCCATATATGAATCAGAGGTCAACGCCGCTGCCGCCGTGAAAATCCATTCGCGCGCCGGCTCAAATAAGCCCTATTCTAAAGGCCTATTCTTCCACCGATTTACACATATGTATTTCATTATGATGTAATTTTTTAAACGTATTGAAATCTAAGTTATTTAACGTACTGAGCGGTTTTTAGAAATTAATTATTTTTAATTTCAAAATTTAAATACTAGTTTTTGAAATTTTGACCTAGACAAGAAATAAGTATGGCATTGTTCCGATTATTACCATGTTTCAGATGCTTTCTACTTGCATGCCAAGCAATGTATATTTTCGCGCCCCCGCCGACTAAACCGCCGGCGTTGACCTCTGACACGAATTATTGAATTATTCAGTTCAAAAATCTCTAAATTTCTTTGAAAAACTCTAATCCAATGGCCAAATTTTCCTGAAAAACTGTTCTTCAATTTTCCTCAGCCGGGTCCGGAATTGACAGCGGCACGTTGCACTTCACCATAGTTTTGGAGAACTTGTCCCGCTGTAACGGAGATGGTGAATGCACCTCCGTGTGTAAAAATCAGGCCAAGAATCCGGCCGCCATCGTGAACGCGAGGTGCGTCAAGTTCGTCGGAAATTTTAACAGGTTTTGCTGCTGTTATACAAGTAATACGAATGCCTGTTGCAAATATGGCAGTTCCGGATTGGACTGTAATTACTGATTTTAGGAAACTTTTTATTTTTTATTTTATTTTTTATGTTTTCGAAATATGTATCTGCACCCTCCCTACTTGAAATCTGTTTCCTAAATAAATAAATTATCTTGATTTATGTATACATATTTTTAAGCTCTATGAATGGGAACGTCCATATATTATGTCGTCAAGAAGTTCCCGGATTGTCATGCTAAGCTTATCTGGAGTAAGATAAGCCACCCAAAACGACCCCATTTTTTGATTACGTAATATATTAACGTTCCCATATTAAATTCGAAGCAAATTCCACCATTTCCTAATATCTGACAGGTTTTCTACATTTCTTGCATTTAATTACATACACATTTCACTCGAAGGAACAATGCAAGAAATTTTCATCACCTGTGTTACAGCTCACCTTTTGAGCCACACTCTAGAAAATCCGGTCACGATTATAAAAGACCGTCCATAAATTACGTAACGCAAAAATCGAGATTTTCTTCACCCACCTCCCCCATTTACCATGTGTCCCATATGCACAATATCATAGCAGCCTTAGAACACCGTTTTCCCTCGCACGTCACATAATTTATGAATGGCCCCTTGATTTTATGCATCACTAAAAACAGTTCATCCTATCCTGGATAAATCATAAATCAACTAAAATTACGGATACTGGGTCAGAAGGGAAATGTGAGGAATCATGAAAGCCGTGGAGTTTTTGGCATGTACTTATTTTTTGCATGTACAAAGACACGCGAGCATGCCACGTGTCGCGGGAGATAAATCAGCTGAATTCTCACACATTTATAAAATTCCAAAATACTACAATTAACACAAACAAATAATGATAAAAACAAAATTGTTGCAAATTTGTTTTAAATCAAGTTGTAAAATATTAAATCTCTTAATTGTTTAATTAGCTACCAAGTTTTTTGCAAAGTTAGGATTTTAAAGAATTTAATGTTTAAATTTTAAACATTGTGATTACAAATTTAATAATTGATTTCAAATTGGTAACCATGCCAACCCCACGGCCGGTTTGTCTATTTTGTCGAACTGGTGATTGTAATTCCTCCTCCTCGTTGGATTTATTTCCTAAATTTTTAACTTATCTCGCCACGATTAATATTCCTGTGGAAAATTCCGAAAATTTCTGCCGTGAAAATTTCCATTGTTGTCAGAAATGTGGCTCCCTTTTGGAAATGATTGCCCACCACGTGCACCAACTGGGACAAAATTTGCTCACCATTTATCGCGTAACGTTGCAAAATTTAAACCAAAATTGTGACGACGACGACGAAATTCTGGAAAATTGGAGGACGCAAAGTGTTTCTCGTGAGAATAAATAAAGTAAATTTTCAACTATTTAAATTAACTAAAAGAACTACCAAATTTTTTCAGAATTCAATACTTCCATCTCTTTGGGAAAAGATTTTCTAAAAAATCTTAACCAGGAAGGACAGATTTTACGTGAGTTTTTCATTTATTTATTTATTTACTTATTAATTACTACATCCCCTAATGTTTACCTTCTCATTTATCTATGTACTTCAACTTAAACTAATTCGTAACTTAAAATTCCTAAAAATAACCAAAGATTTACATACTTATTTACTCTTAGCCGAAATTGAGTCGGATTCGGAAACAGAAATGGACCAGGCACCTTTCAAAATTGAAATAGACAGCGACGAATTCGACATGGAAATAAAACCTGAAATTGATCAAGATCAGGATCCTCTAAGTTATTATGAAGATAACCATTCGCCCCCCGAGGAGGACGACGATATTCCCCCAGAAGAAGATGACGAATCCTATTTAAACGACATTCTCGAACTCGCCGACGACGCCGACGAGCCTCCAGTTCCATCCAAACGGGGGAAAAAGGTAGGAAAAAAATTATGTGCAAATTTTAAATTAAAATTTTCCGTACTGCCGATTCATCACAAATTGTACGAAATTTTCAAATGACACGATCCCCCAATGGGCACGTTTGGCAAGGATATTTGCATCCAAGGAGGAGAAATGGCCAAGTTAAATCTACCCTTTCCAAATTTTTTGCTGCGCCTTGTCTCCTCTTCGGATGCGAATATCTGTGTCAAACGTGATCCTGTTATTTTTAATTACATATTTTTTAATTTATTAACTGTTTTAACTGTTCTCTTCACAAATTTAGGGTTCATCTCGCAAGCGGAAAAGTATCATAAAACCAGAAGTCAAGTTGCCCGACAAGTCTTCAATCCCAGGAAAACCAACCGGTTTAAAAACTACCAATTTTTTAAATCATATTTCTGATTTTAAACCGAATTTGTTCTAATAATTCTTCCAATTTTTTTAAACTCAGCTCCACTCTCTGCTTATGTGGCCCTATTTTTATCCCACGACAAACGCACCTGTGCCCCCTGTGACGTCTCCTTTCCCACCCAGACTGCCCTTAAGGACCACATTTCCGCCGTGCACCTCAACGGGGCGCGACGAGTCTGCGCCGTTTGCATGCTCGGATTTCTAGAAGGTCGAAATTACCAGTACCACATTCGAAAATGTAACGCGACCCCGGCCCGCGCAACGTCGGAAATACTGATCGCCGACGTGAAGGGGATCATTTTAGGGGCAATATTACCGAAATCGTGGGTCAAGATGGGAATAAAGTCTTTCAGTGTGGGGGTTGCAATGTGAAACGGACGACCAGGAGCGATCTCGCGGTCCACATTCGCGTCAGGCATACGGGTACGTATTTATGTAAATACAGTGGAATTATTTGTGCGTGTCACCTCATTTGCATAAATCTCAGTTTGCCCGTTTTCCGCGATAAGCGGTTTCCATGCCGAATAAAGTCTGGTTGATTGGTCAAAATATGCAAATAAGGTACCAGAACTGGAACAATCCAGAAATTAGGGATTGGTAATCCGGATTGGGATTAGTCAATCCCTAATCCAAGCTTTGAAAGTAATCCACAACCCCGAAACTAAAGGTTTAATGCCACCTTAATTACTGTTTTAGACGAGCCCTTCAAGTGCAACAATATCCAGTGTGGATACGCCTTCGCGTCGCAGGCCGATTTGGACGACCACATCCGCAAGTACGCCCATCAGACCAGGCACGCTTGTGACTTCTGCACAAGCGTGCTGTATTCATCCAGCGCGTTGAACGACCACGTGCTCAAGGTTCATGAAAAGGTTACCCGCTACACGTGCGCGCGCTGCGAGAAGGGGTTTTACCGACGGTGCGAGGCAACCCGGCATGAGAAGCGTTGTCGAAGGGGGATAAAGGAAGGGGAAAATCATAACGGGTTAACGTGAAGTTTCAAAAACTAAACCCCAAGAATTTTACTTTATCTAAAACATTAGTCGGGGACAAACAAATATTTTATTTAAACAAATTATTTTTTTATACTTCTCAAGTTTTGTCAATGAGGATGAAAAGTGGAAAACATTTTTTATTAAGATATTCAAATAAAAAACATGTATATTTAAAAAAATCGAAGCTCAAAATTTTGCATGAAACCAGAAGAAAAATAAACATTATCGTCACAAATATACAACAATACATCAAAATTTCTGCCACCTACAAAAAGAACATTGTCACAATTTGTGTATCAAAATCAAAATGCGCAACAACGTATTAACATTTTGTACCAAACTCCACAAAATATATGCAAATTCAAAAATAATCGTCACAGTGGTGTATCAAATTGAATACAAATGTATGCAACTGGGTAAAATCTTTTCTCTTTTTTATCAAAATTCAGAATATTCATCCCAACTTTGGAATTGATTACGAAATCCTGACAAGATTTAGATAGCAAAATTATGTTTGTACCTCGAGCATAAACCAAACAAACAAAGAAGTGACTCTTCTCATTTGCATATTTAGGTATAATCACCAGTCTCAAACCAAAGATGATACTGACGAGTTTGCTTGCTCTTGAACTGTTCACTAAATACACATCTTATCACGTCCTCCCTAAAGTTTGGACTTGAATCGCGTGATGGCTTATCCAACAAACTATTTCAGAAAGGAGGTCTCCCCACGTATGCTCACAGATTTGGACCAAACTAGCGTCAATCGATCACAAATTTAATGAATATGAAATTTGCGGAAGAGATGATATGTAGCTGATGATATGTACGTTTGGTCGAGATACATATTTGCATCTTAAGAGAAGAAAATGTGAAGTAAATTTGTAAAGAGTAAAATTCCAACAGATGGGTTTTTCAACGTATGCTTTCCGAAGAGGAGGCAACCTGCAGCTCATTTTCTCCTCTTTGGATGCAAATATCTCCATTGGGGATCCTGTTTTTTGTGCCCATTTCATATCAACTCAATTTGTGTACTATTGACATTAATTTGCTCCTTGAAATTAGAAAGTCCTACGAAAATTGAGTTGATTGCGTAGTTTTGAATGAGTGAAAGCGCTACTTCCACCGTTCTGCGGGCACCTTTTAGTGGGTGTGGCGGGCGCAAATGTGGCCATGGAATCAAACCACTTCAGGGTTCTTGTTCATTCAAGGGACATTACATCATATCCAAAGGGCATCGAGATCAGTAGATTGATAGTACACAAAACCATAGATGCGCGTTTGAGCTAGACACTGACACTTTGTCCACTGACACTCGGACAAAATCAGTGACACTGACACTGTGTCCACTGACACTCGGCCACAGTGGCTGACACTGACACTGGACGGCACCGAGTGTCCGCCACTGAGTGTCCGCGCATCTATGCACAAAACTCCACTCCTTAGTTTGAAATTGGCAAACGACATTATCTGCCAATGCACAGGTTTGGTGGAGATATTTGCTTGCAAAGATGGAAAAATGCGCAGTAGATTGGGAAATTTTCAAGGCTTTTGGCACGTTTTCCCCTCTTAGATGCAAATATTTTTGCCAAACCTAAGCATTGGCAGATATGTAGTGCCAGTTAGAAAATTTCAACCTAATTATATTTGTGGGTGATTGACACCAGTTTTGTCCAAATCGGAGAGCATTCGCTGGGACAGCTCCGTTGTAAGTAGTCAACTTTAACCACCCTTTTATTTATAACGATTCGAGGCAACCATGGCATTATATATGCATCCCAAGACATAACTTGTCCATTGATTACGAAATCCTGACAAGATTGGGATTGCAAAATTATATTTGTACCTCAAACATAAACCAAATAAACCGTCGTAAACGGATATAATTAAACAGCTACAGACTCATTTCACCCAACCACTCCCACGACAAAGCGGGAAAGCTCAATTTCACTGTAGTTCATCTATATATTAAATTTTTGTAAAAATCTCATTTTCCCCGACCACGCCCCTGGGTGCGAGGGGGTGTGACAAAATTCGGGAGTACTTAATTTCTCTCTATTTCACCCATAGCTTTAATTTCAGTAAAAATCTCATTTTGCCCCGCCCACACCCCTTGGCACAAAGGGGGGTGGTCCACTTGCCCCCAAAAGTTGATCTGATCCTCCCCCTGGGGTGATATCAATGATGTCCAAAACCAATTTCGATTCGTTCGTCTGTTATCCTGCTCACAGACGGACGGACAGACAGACAGACGGACAAAGTCTTCGCACAGAGTGCCTGAATCTACTTAATGAACAAAGAAGTGGTACTGTTCTCAATGAGAACGTCTCATTTACATATTTAGGTATAATCACCAGTCTTAAGTCAAAGATGATGACGAGTTTCCCTGCTCTTGAACCATTACCTACCCAAATCCAATCCATCTTATCACGTTTGCTCTAAATTTTAGACCTGAATTGCGTGCTGGCTTACACAACAATGGAGGTCTTCCAGCGTATGCTTTCCGATTTTAAGCAAATTATTCCCAATCGACAGGGTTTCGATTGGTAAAAACCAAATTGACCAGGGCAGCGGGAAAAAGTGGGAAAAAGGCATTTTTACCACCCACCCAAAATGGGTGGGAAATGGGAAACATGGAAGAAATTGGAAAAACTCTGGTTTTGGGGCAATCCGAAACAACTTCTTTAAAACTTAAAATTTTCAAAATTTGAATTCATATTCGTATTCTCCATCAAATTCCGAGAAAATTAGTTGGTAATACGGTTCAATTCGAACAATCTCTAAAATTAACATGATCAAAAGTGCCCGTATTACATATCAAAATTTTCAGAAATTCGTGGAGATCACGAATATGAAGTCCAATTCCGGAAATATTGATTATTAAAGAAGTAGCTTTCCCCATAACTAAATACATGGGCAGCCATATTTCCCATTTTGGACGGTAAAAACCGTTTTTCCCGGTTTTTACCACTTTTTCCCACCTGCCGTGGTAAAAAATCGTTTTTTACGGGTAAAACGAAACCCTGCCAATCGATCACGAATTTTCTAATCGATCACGAATTTTAAAACGACACGGTCTCCCTCTGGGCACGTTTCGCAGAGATATTTCGAAAAGCAGAAAACGAGTAGCAAATTCGGAAAATGTAAAGTGTGTGAATTATTTGGAAGCGTTTTGTCCTCTTCAGATGCAAATATCTGGGCGATACTGTCTTATTTTTCGCAAATTTCATATCAATTCAATTTGTGTACGATTGACACTAATTTGCTCAAAATCTTGGGGCACACGCTAGGAGACCTTAATTTTGATTTGGCTTATAAATCTTATCCTTAGTCGCAGAATGATGTCTCTGCCTCCTTGCTCTTGAACTATTCACCACACATTATAGGGAACGTGCATATATTACGTCATCCTTTTGTTTGGAATGGTGGTTTAAGTCGTCCTATCTTTCCCATGTTAAAATTCCCTATCCTCCAATGTTTAGGTTGAGTGGGTAGGTGCTGAAATCGAGAATTTTTGGTGCCGTAATATATGGATGGTCTCATATTTAAAAAACATTATTGCCGTAAACTTTGGACTTGAATCGCGTGATCGGTTACTCTCCCAGCGTGTGCTGTCCCATGTTTAGCAAATTAATGTAAATCGATCGCAAATTTAATAAGCACGAAATTTGCGAAAGACACGATCTCCATTGGCCACGTTTTGCCGAGATATTTGCATCCGAAGAGGAGAAAATGTCCTGCAAACTTGCGTTTTCTCCTCTTCGGAAGTAAATATTTCGGCCAAATGGGCGCCCATTGTGAGATTTGGTTCTTTCGCAAACTTGTTTCTCTTCTTTAAATTTGCGATCGATTTCCATTAATTTGCGCAAAATCCGAGAGCATACGCGGGAAGACCTCTGTTATGATGTGACAAATATTATGCTTAGACATGTTATCACAGAATTATGTCTCTCTCTCTCTGCCTCTATAATCAATCTTAAAGGGTGGCCCAAATGTATCTCCCGAGGAATTTTTTCGCAAAAGTTTAAGGTAAAATCGGCTGTAATTTCTGAACCAGCAAATGTTTTATTTTGAAAATTTTACCATACGTAGTCCAATATGGAAGGTCGATCGTGACTATCATAGAATTCAGATAAAAATTTCGGTTGCGGAGCAATAAAAAATAAATCAAAATTTGGAGAAATTGTGACATAGCGGGCACAGTGGGCCAGATTTAAAAAATTGTGGCCAAAAATATATAGAAGCCGAATTTGAAGAAACTAGAACTAGATTTTGGTGTGCAACAATAACCTAAGGCATATATTATATGAGGAAATTTTTAATAGTCACATGCCACACCCCCAGTGGGTGTGGCCCTCTGCGACTTTTCGATTTCAACGAAACCATGTCATGTGACATATCATTTTTCTCAGCTCAACGAGGGGACCTCGACAGAATCATTATAATTTTGACACCACACCCCCAGTGGGTGTGGCTCTAAGCAAATTGTCGATTTTAACGAAACCATGTAGTGTGATATGTCATTCTTTTCAGCTTGATTAGAGGTATCGACGGAATACCTAAAATTTAGAAAACCACACCCCCAATGGGTGTGGTTCCCAGAAAATTGTCGATTTTAATAAAACCATGCCATGTGTTATATCATTCTTATCAGCTCAACAAGGATGTTTCGACGGAATACTAAAAATCAGCGACTTTTCAATTTTGACTAAACCACGTAATGTCATGTAATAAATCATTTCTCTTAACTAAACGAGGGGATTTCGACAAAATAATTTGAATTGCATTACGTAAATTAAGAAAAACCCACTTTCAAACTTTGTAATTTTTTACAATTTCTTGCTGCATTTTTCAAAATTTTGAAATGGCATACAAAGCCTTAAACTTTTACAAATGTATTTTTCTAATCTTTTTTTGTAATTTTTGGGAAAAAATGGTTTTGTTCTTTCATTTTTGATATAGCGTTAAAATTATATAACATAAAAGTTTTTGACAAATTTTAATTTGGGCTGAAAATGCCCTCTAAACCCCTACAACCGAAAACGCGAGCCTTCATGGAAACGCAAAAATACGGGTAGTGCTATTTCGGTGTGGGAGAAATTTAAAATCGGAGAAAACAACTTTAACTCGCTGAATTCCGCACCCACTGGGGGCGTGGTTTCAAAATTCTAATTATTCTGTGGATATCTACTCGTATAGCTGAGAAAATTGATATATCACATGATATTGTTCTCGTTAAAATTGAGAATTTTCTTAGAGCCACACCCACTGGGGGTGTGGTGACAAAATTTTAATCATTCCATCGAGATCCCCTCATCGAGCTGAGAAAAATGACATATCACATGGTTTCGTTAAAATCTAAAAGTTGCCGAGGACCACACCCACTGGGGGTATGGTTTCTAAACTTTAATGAATCTGTTGAGATTCCCTCGCCGAGCTGAGAAAAATGATATATAACATGAAATGGTTCCTTTAAAATCGAAAAGTCGTCGAGGGCCACACCCACTGGGGGCCTGGCATGTGACGATTTGAACATTGCTAGTAGTGGCCAGGCTGTCGAGGTATTTTTTCGACATGCACGTCGATTTTTATTGTTTGAAATTTTGCGGTATTCGTTAATTTGATTCTACAAGTTGCTTGACCTTGTGACCTTAATTTGGAGGGGGTGTGGTCGAATTAAAAAAAGCTGAAAATATGTTTCGCCCATTGACCTAGGGTTTCCAAAACAGTCGCCACTTTGAAAATCGGTCAACAATTGGAAAAGTAATCCGAATTTCAACTTTCAATGTTGTTAAGCATGACAAGATCGGCCATCAAGCCTTTCAGCAAGAAATGTCTTTCATTTTGATTCCCCTACCAGAGGGTGTGGTTTTCACACCCAAAATACGTTCCTGCTACCACCTCAGTTTGCTGAGAAAGTCCAATGAGTGAGTATACTTAAAGCATACTTGAGTAAAGGCAATTCAACTTAAATTTGATTTTTTTTAACTTTAATGACTAAAAGTGGGTGTGGTAGGAATAAAGCTTGATGGTCGCAGACGGTCGCAGCAATTAGTATTCCACAAAAGTTTCATTTGATTTGATTCATGCATTCATTTTCTGCAGGTCAAAATAAACTGACACTTTCAATAAGGGGACAGTTAATATTACGTCATCAATTTAGTGGGTGGGTAGTTTAGGTCTTTTTATCTTTTCCATGTTAAAATTTCCTAACCCTTATATTTTCGTTGAGTGGGTGGATGCTAAAATATAAAACTTTTGATGACATAATGTATGGATGGTCCCAAAGACCCTTGTTTATGTTTAGCAGTGATCAAATCACACACCTTAAAGGGTTAATACTAAAAAACTGATGTTCCCCATGCAATCCGTGGGATTTAAAAGTTTGCGTTTTTTTCAGCGTGGCCTATACTACACCTGCGAGCACATTCCCACGGAAGGGGATCGGTGTGACCCCTCAGGATATGCATACGGCACTTGCCCATGTGCCCCAGGTACAGATTGTCCTCCCCCTCGTAATGGATTACTATTTGACCTTTCCCGTCGGTGCCAACGTGTTTAGAATTTGATTTATTTTATTACACATTTTATTGAAATCTTTAACTACTTAAAGATGATTTTAATAAATTGATTGTGACCTACATATAGTGGAATTTATTTGTGCCAGGCACCTCACCTAATTTGCATATTTTTAAGCATTCGCCAAAGCCATCCCGCATTGCCGAACATGGGCATTGCAAGATTTATGCAAATGATGTGACCTTCCTGAGTTAGAGGATAGTATATACATATGTAATCGTTATATTTTCTATTAATAATAATTATGCGGCTAATCATATACGTAATATTACAGGTTTATGTACACGCTAAATAAAAATAAGTAAAATGTACTCATCGTTAAAATTAAACTGCAAAATTTGTCCAACGGGAGGATAAATTTTGCACCATGTTTGGAAATTTTCGCTTTTCGTTATTTCATCCTCTTTTGTTGCTCAATGTTGAATAAATTTTATTTATTTTTACTTAAAGTGTAAATATGTAAAAAAAAATAGTTTATTTATGCATCATGTTATACGCACATTTCGTAGATAACTAAGCAATTTATATAATTTTGGTTTAACTCCTTTCGTACTACTGATTTTTTTAACAAAATTTCCCTTCGGTACGATGATTTAATAATTAACAACCAATTAAAGTTTTAACCACTTTTCAATATTTTTTTTTTTAAAAACAGGATAAATCCATTTTTTAATATTAGTCCGTATATGGAAAATTCCAAAATTTGGGAAGAAAAATATCGAGAAAATCCACTTTTTACCATCGAGTTTTCCACAAAATATGTACATACATATCAAAGAACAACTCTTTGGTTATGGAAATTTTAGTGTAAGTAAATATACATGTGTATATATATCGTCATCAACAAAAAATAAAATATGGACATTTTCTTTAAGCAAATGTTTATACTGCGCTGTGTATGTAAAATAAAATACTATAAAAAACAAGTCAGCCAATCTGAAAAAAAAATTTTGATTTTTTAGACCTAATAAATCCATAAAGCTTTTAGTATTTAGTATTTCCAAAATATACATATTGATATTTCATACTTCAAAAATAATCAAAGTATTTTAAAGATACAAATGTATACATATTTACATTTTGGGCTCGGGTGTATATTAGTATTTTGCATCTGGAAGAAATTAATTTTGATAATTCCCTATAAGAATTATGAAAATTATGAAATTTTTGTGTTCATGAAAAAATTCATGCCAAACATGCATTTTCATGAACAAAGAAGAGCAAGCATGCCACGTGCCGCGGGACATAAATTTCTCTCTCCCAAAATAATAAAAACAACAAACCGACACAAAAATACTTGTTTAAACAAGTATTTATTATGATAAATATAAAAATATAAAATATAAAAGGAGTAATAAATAATGACAAGGTTAAAAAAACGAAAATTGTTCCAAATTTCATTCCGACAAGTGATCTCTCTCACCCAAAAGTGTTTAATTATTAAGAAAGTTGCCAAGTTTTAGTAAAGTTACATATGTAAATTAAAAACTGATACAAAATTCAAAAATAATAACCATGTCAACCCCTCGACGACTGGTTTGTCTATTTTGTCGAACTGGTTGTAATTCCTCTTCTTCCGACTTATTTCCTCAATTTTTAACTTATCTCGCCACGATTAATATTCCCGTGGAAAAAAACTTGCTGGATGAAAATTTCTGCCGAGAAAATTTCCATTGTTGTCAGAAATGTGGCTCCCTTTTGGAAACAATTGCCCACCACGTGCACCAACTGGGACAAGATTTGCTTACAATTTATCGCGTAACGTTGCAAAATATTAATCAAAGTTCGGACGATAATGACGATATTTTCGAAATTTGGAGGAGGCAAAGCGTTTCTCGTGAGAATTAGTTAATTAATTACGAAGTAATTATTTAAATTTTAAAAACGTACTATACTTTTTTCAGAATTTAATACTTCCATCTCCTTGTGGAAAGATTTAATCGTACAAGATAACCACGAAACAGGATACAATATTTTACGTAAGTTTTGCAATTTCTTCACAATTTAATTCTTTATCAAGTACTTACTTGCATATTAGATAATTTAAAAGATACAGATTTACTTACGTACAGTAAAAATAGTATAATTTGCATTTTAATTTAGCCGAAATTGCAGAAAATTTAGAGCAGGAAACACCTTTCAAATTTGAACAAGATTGCGATGACAATGTCGACCTAGAGATAAAGATTGAACCCGACCAAGAAATCCGAGATACGGTGGGGATTTCGCAAAATCTGGATTGTCCAGGTGACCCCCGCGATGACGCTATTCCCCCAGAGGAAGAGGATAAATCGTACTTAAATGATATTCTCGAACTCGCCGAGGACGCCGATGATCCTCTAGTTCCGTCTCCATGCAAACGGGAAAAGAAGGTATGTAGGGGGCGTCCATAAATTACGTAGTGCAAAATCGCGATAGACCCACCTTTAACATAGGCACGATATCATTTGAGCCTTACACCCACCCCCTCTCGCGTTACGTAATTTATTGACGGTCTTGTCGAAAATTTAATGGCAATTCTGTATTCCAAATGTTTAGTAACAATGGAACCTTTTTTACAAGCTACGCCGCGATTGGGCAGCGGTTTATGTTAATAAATCCAGCCAAAAATTAGGAGTCCCGTGGAATAAACGCGGGAGAAACTTTACGCAAAAATTTAACTTTGCCGCAGATATTTTTATTCAAAGGGAGCATTCAACGGCAAGATAAGTGTCATGTGACTTGTAATTTTTGGCTGAATTTTTTAATATAGCTCGTTAAACAATTTCGATGTAGCTTGAAAAAAGGTTCCATTGTACTGGGCCGTACATAAATTACGTAAAGAAAAAGTCGCGATTTTCTAGACCCCTCCGCCTCTAACATCATGTTAGTAACATGTGTAACATTGGCAATTGGAGCCTTAGACCCCCTCCCCTCTGGCGTTACGTAATTTATGAACGGTCCCTAACAGTTCTCTTCACAAATTCAGGCCTCATCCCATATACGCCAAAGCTCCTCCTCCAAAAGACTGGAAACCTTTAAAATAATAAAGTTGGAGGACAATGCCGATTCGATCCCAGAAGAACAACCCGGTTTGACAAACAACTATTATTTTTATCATTAATTCATACATTTCACGTCAGTCTTCGTAAACCGCATAAACTTCACCTTTGAAAACCGATGGGTTTTATAATAATTTGTAACTCCGTACGTTTTTTGTAATTTCGTAGGCAAAAGTTTTTTTTAATGCTCCCAAGTTTAGTAAAAAGTTCGTAAGTTAACACGGTTACAAAGGCTGGCATGAAGTGCCTCATTGTAAAATCCGGAAACAAATTTTTACAAAATTTGCATTTTAAATTGTGTGTACCAGTTTATAGAACTATTATTTTACAATATTTCCGAATTTTACAAAAAGGGAAAATCCATATATTATATTACGTCATCATTTTAAAGGGTGAGTGGTTTTGAACTTCATATCTTTCCCATATTCAAATTACCTATCCCTTACTGTGCAAATACTTGGGTGGGTGGGTGATATATAAATCGCGAATTTTTGATGACGTAATATATGAATGGCCCCAAAGTTCTAGTTAAATTTCCACATTAACTTATCCTGAAATTTTCCCATTTTTGTGCAAAACCTAGCTCTGACCTCGATTTATGCCCGAGACGATGGGCGTCAGACTAAAAAGTGCGACTTGTGCGACCTCACTTTCCGCTTGGAGTCCTCCCTCGCCGACCGCAAGGCCGCGGTTCACCACAACGGGGCCCGCCACGTCTGCACCGTCTGCAAGCTGGGGTTTCTGGAAATACATAATTACAAGTATCACGCGCGAAAGTGCGACAAACCGCGCACGACCTCGAGTTCTGCGGAGATCGAGATTGCCGACGAGCTTGGGACCATTTTGGGCGTCGCGGTAAACCAAATCGTGGATCAAGATGGCAACGAAATGTTCCAGTGTGGTCGTTGCAACGCGAAACGATTCACAAGGGCCCATTTGATTACTCACGTGCGCGTAAAGCATACAGGTACACGATCCACGGTGGTGCAATTTCGGGGCGGTATGGACAAAGGAAGGGTGTGCAATCCCGGGCAGGGTTTTGGGGTAGAAAATTTCAGCAATTTCTAAACACAGGGCGGTTTGAATGTTATGCTGCAATTGATAATTTGTCAATGCGAAAAATTCGTAAATCTACAATAGTTACTGAAACTTTGTCTCTGAAATTCGATATTTTAAGAATTTTCTCATACATAAGTGTTCAATCAGTTTTACAATAACCATAAAAATGTCAATCCAAAATAAGGCAACTAATGTGCAATGGAAATTTTTCTTTTGAAAAAATTTTCGATTGAAGCGTGACATTTAAAAAACCGTGTACTTAGCAAAAATCGGGACGAATTCAACCAGCACTCTTTAATACTAAATCTCAAACTTTAAGAGCGGTTACTGCTCAAATGGGTCATTATTTTAGTATAAATTTGCATATTCCTCTTTCCCAATATTTTAGACGAGTCCTTCAAATGCAAAAATCCCAGTTGTGGATACGCCTTCGCCTCGCAGGCCGAGCTGGACGACCACATCCTGGCGAAAGGCCACCAGACGAGGCACGCGTGCTCGTTGTGCGCAGTCATGACATCCACAGCGGGGCTTTTGAAAGCCCACGTGCTCTCGGTGCACCAAAATGTTGTTCGCTTCACCTGCTTGCGCTGTGAGCACGGGTTTTATTCCCGTCATAACTGGACGACCCATGAGGCCCGTTGTCAAGCCGAGGTTAGGAAGAAGAGGAAACCGAGATAGAAATCAAATGTTCACGGTGGATTAAAATCCACAGAGATGGAAGTTCATGTAGAGGGATTTACTCGGAAAAGACTTTGATTTTGACAAAATTTTGAAGTTCAAAATAACTGAATTGTTAAAAAAAAACTTTTTACCAAGAAAAAATTTTTGTCAAGCGTGCATAGAAAGAAAACTCTTCTTCGCTAGTAAAAAAGGTACAAAGTTTTCAACTTTGACCTCACATGCTTTGGAAAATTTTAAGCATAACGTAAATTTTCACAAGAAACTGGGTGTTACACTTTACATCATCGCATTGTTAATAACGAATTCAGCATCAACATTTACTGCTCAAAAGGGGTACACTATTTTTTAAAGTGTGTTTGGTATTAGCGGACATTATCGGTCAAACATATTAATCTTATTTTTTTAAATTAGGATTTAACTGTTTTTCTTAATTTGTCATATTTAATTTAAAAAATACATTCCCTCAAATTTAATTTAAAATCTCGATAAAATCGCTAACTTTGGTCTCAAATGTACATTTTGTATTTTACTTTGTATTTTCGACGATTCAAGAAAAATTGTATTTTTACAATTTTTTATTTAAGGCTTGGTTTGAGTATTTTTATTTTCAAAATTAAGTGTCTATTTTTCCAACCTCTGTTGATTACAGGGAAAATTCTATCTATTAAGTTGCCTGGAATCTCAAAGTATTATTAGTATTATTAATCATTATGTATTAGTATTATACTTGTAGTTTTAATATCTAAACGCAGAACCATATCGAATATCAATATCCTCCAACTTGTCCACCTCGCTCTCGTCGATGTGTACAATACATCTAAACTGATCTATGCGATACCTGTCACAAAGTAACATCCAATACAACTGCCCATCCATGAAAGCCATACATGTGTCCATATATTTCTTCAAGTCTTCAAGAGATGGATGGCAATTATACTTCATGTACAATTGGGGACGATACTTTTGAAAATCGAGGCAAATAGTGTTCGCATCATCTTCCACGGACTTGAAGCATTTAGCAAAATCACCGCCATATTCACCATTAAGAGACCGGATGCATATGGCGTTAAACCGTTCTCCAACAAGAAGCTCCTTTCTCACTGAGTAGAGATCATTTGCAAATATGACATGATCAGATATCATTTTCCTCATCTTTATGAAGAGTGAATCGTCACGAATATCTTTGGGAACTTTGACCTAAAAATCAAAAATAATTTTAGCAAAAGAAAATAAATTTCCACCATTTGAAAATTATGATACTCATAAATGATTTACTGACTTTGTGAAGATAGGTGACCATCTCGATGCATGTGTCCCGCCAGAAAATTGACGAATGTCGAGATACTCCTCGATTGTGATTTTCGTCCCGGTGAAGCTTTTCCTTTTCAGGTGAGCTTCTGCTGTGAGGCTAGTCGTTACACCTGATAGCAACTAATTAAATTTTCAACCAGTTTCAAATTTTTGAGGTTTTTATTAATAAACGCGAAAAATCCTCATTTTAACATTAGTCCATATACGGAAAATTCCAAAATTTAAGGGCAAAATATCGAAAAAGACAGTTTTTATACAGCAACTTTTCCACTAAATAAACTCTTAAAAACCCGGTAATAAAATATTAATATCGTGTATTACCGCTGGTGTGGTAATATTACGTATTACTATCAGCGGTAGCCGTTATGTCTCAATTCCTCCACCACCGCTGTAAGGCAGGATTTATATAGTGTCGTGCCGGCATTAGGTAGTAAAGATTGTGTTGCTGCCATGCGGTAATAGTGCGGCTACCAGCACGGTAGAGTCATAGATGGTAATAAAATTTCTTAGAGCCTACCAATGAAATGCTCCTCGTTTATAGAAATTTTGGTATCAAGGTAATTTATTCAATAGACACAATTGTGTATTTCGTCGTCTAAAGGTTAATCTACCGGTTTTTTCGAGTTCTATCAAAATTGTATACTCCTCCACAGTTACCAAAACACTTTTAAAACGTAGTCCCAGAAATTAAGGCAATTTTTGCAGGTACTGTCCCCCTATGCCGGGAGTATTATAAACAATCGCCGAGTTACATTAACCTAACTGCACAAGGTGTTCCAAATATTTAATACCAGTTTGTTTAATTATGACGTACAAATCGTTCAATTTCCCAAATTCCAGACACAAAATTGAAATTCTTGCGTCAAAATGAGGTAAACTGGTATTAAATATTTCGACAACCTTTGGCGGTTCGGCTAATGTAATTCGGCGATTGACTACAAGACTCCCAGCAAGTGGGACAGTGGTCAAATCGCACACCTTTATTAACGGATTAATGATTTAAAAAAAACTGGAATGCACCATGAAATCATAAGGACTAAAAATTTGTGTTTTTTTAGTTTCTACTCAAGACTTGCAGCAAGATGCGCTTGGAAGGGGAGCGCTGTGTCACCGTCTTAACAAATACAATTCTAAGCACTTGTCCGTGTGCTCCAGGTTTGGAGTGTGTCAACCCATCACGTGGGTTAGGCCGCTGTCAAAATGTAACTACCACAACTGCTTGACTCGATTGGATTAATTACACAATTGTTGAACCTTTAACTAGTTAAAAACATGATTTTAATAAATTGATTGTTGAGTTTTACGTATGTACATATTTCCAGAATCGCTACATTTTTCTATTCATAATTAGTTGGTTATTTTTTACCAACTATGCAACTCATAAATATGTACATACCTGATCTAATATTTTTGCGTATACCGGACATTAACGACTGGTTATAGCATGCTCTTGCCCGCTCTATCAGTCAATTCAGTCTCTCGCTCAATATTTCTCCGTATGTTTACAACATGCATAATTTTTTGCACAGCTTTTTTACCTTGTCATTCTTATACCGAGATTAAACGTGCACTCAAAAATGTGAAATTTGTTGAATTACAACTAGTGATAGTTGCGCAACAAGGGAACAAGGCCCTTTAAAGGATTGATATGTTACTTTTATTTATATTAATGAATTAATCTCGAGAGAAACAAAATTTTGATGGAAATTGATATTCGGCATTTAATAATCCAATTCCCGGGTGAAAAATTTAGGGGATTTTATGCATAAATTTTGCTGGATTCTAAATAAATATGTATGGAATTGGCTGTATTTTATGCAAACAAATTTATCCTGAAACAATTTGTGCACAAAATATGCAGAATTATGCATAATTGCGCAAAACCTTTCTGCAGAATATACCTTTCAGAAGTTTTATGCAGAATCGTTCATACTTTTTCTCCACAAACCATTGTTCCGGGCAGTTGTGTCGAATTATGTCAAATTCGACATAATTCTTCGACATAATTCTAACGTTCGTCGCATTTCCCAGGGCGACAAAGCTTACTTCATTTTTCTCTTTGTCATATTTTGTATCAAATTTGCGAAATGTTTTCCTCAAAATCGAGCAAATCGTATAAAGTCAAATCTTTTCTGCAACCAAAATCACTTCCTCCTCCGGATGTTCCGTCTAATTTTTTTACAATTTCTTCGAGGTGGCCGGAATTTTTGCAGAAATGTGGGAAAATACGAATCACATCACGACTCCATTTGGAGCAGTGAATTCGCAATGTCGAGTGTTTTGCAAAATGAAACCAATTATGTATTAAAATATAAAAAATTCAGAAATGTACATATCAAAATCTTGTATCATAATGCAAAAAAATAAACAAAACTTAATATAACTTTTGCACACGAGTCGCAAATTGTGTCCATTAATTCTTCCTCCACAAAAGTGGCATTTACTGATACGAAGGAACCACGCAGTTGCATACATTGCTTGAAGGGAACATCCATATATTACGTGGTACAAAAACGACAATTCGTAAACCAGGCACCCATCTTATGCCTAACATACGCGACCCAAATCCACCCACCCACTTTTTCGGTGACGTAATATGTTGACATTCCCTGCATATTTAAGTAAATCATCTTAACCATACAGAATGGATGGAGTTTGTACACCAAAACCTAACCAAGAAATAGTACTCCTTCCATTTACGTTGGTATGTAGGTATAATCACAAGTCACAAGGGGATCGTCCATATGTTACGGCATCAAAAAAGGTGGACTTTGGGTCGCCTATCTTACCCGTGTTAAGTTTAACATCATTTGGCTGATATTGAACTGGGGTGTGGGTCGGGTGATATAAAAATTGGCGTTGTTTTGATACCGTAATATATGGACATTCCCAAGTCTAAAGACGACGATCATGACGCGTTTGATTGATCCCACGCGTTGAACTCTTTACACCGTGTGCATATTTTTGCACTCGGTTTGCAAATTTGGACCGATCTTTAGACTAAAATCGCGTGATGGCTGATCCAACCAGACCAGCCAACAATGGGCACGCCAGGATTGTTTCGTCCGGATTGTTTTGCAACGTATAATTTGAATATCAAAATTATGCGTAGATTTTACTTCAACATTTTGCCTGCGTGTGCGAAAACCACCGAATTTTAACCTTCAAATAAATAATGACGCACCCAAAAAAGCGGAATCGATGCATACAGACTTTCATAATTCCGGAAAGGTGGAAAAAAGAAATGTTCTTTCTCGTTCATCTTCAAAAAGACACGGGATCATTTAATGAACCACTATCAGATAGTGGTTCATTGGGGACTAAATATTTGTCGAGTGGAATGAAGTAATAATTTTGAGGGTCAAAACCCTCAAAATCTCCCCCCATACCCAGGTTGGAGAGAAATATTTGGGTTTGAAGCGTAGAAAATGGCCATAGATAAATTTTGAAATTTTGAAATTTCCAAATTTACTCTTTATTAGGGCGCAAATATTGCAGCCAAACCTATTTATCTAGCAAACTGTACCTGTGGGGCCGTCCATAAATTACGTAACGCAACAATCACGATTTTCTAAACGCTCCCCCCTCTTTCGTTAAGTAATCTTTGTGCGACCCATTTAGAAAATTTCAAACCGATTAAATTTGGGTATCGAAATTTGATATCGAAACACTATTTTTGTCACAATATTCCGGCATATGAACCTTGGCACACCTCCATTCTTACAATTAGTGGATTTCGTTGAATTGTACACACAAGTAAAAATCTGGAAGCAACAGGCCTCACGGTGACACTGTAAGTTGTTGTGATAAATGCGAGTGAGCCATGTTGAAATGGAATAATACGCCTCGAGTGGGGGTCGCCCATAAATTGTGCACACTAAAGAATCCTGATTTTTCACGTCATACTCACGGTATCCATGTAACCGACCCATACAATTATTCGCCTTTCCGAAGTACCCACATAATTTATTGATCACCCCTAATGTTGCAATAAATTATAGAAGATATTAAATTACGAGATCAAGTCATTGAACTCTCGTTAAGAGCCAATCTCCATAAAATCGTTAAATTTGGTTTCAAATGCTCAGTGTTCTGCAGACGGTCGGGAAGCAAATACTTAAATTATTTCAATCAGGCGATAAATCCAAAACTTGTAACTTTTATAAAAATTTTGAACATTATTAAAAACAATGTTTCCAATTTCTAAATTAAAATCACTTCTAAAAAATTTACATTCAATAAACTACCCTAAACCTACAGTTGGGTCTGGATTTTTTTAGGATAGTTTGCTTAATTTATAATTTTTAGAAGTGAATTTCCTTTCGAAAAGGGAGCATTATTTTTACACTCTAAATAATTTGGAGACAAAAATCGTCACCCGCAAAGTAGCTTGAGCATTGCTATTATCTTAATGCTAAATTGTTTAAATAAGAGTATTGTTTTTTTAAGAGTGACGTTACTTGTAACTTTTCTACTTACTTATTTCCCGTCGGTGACGAAGCGTCAGTTTAATTATTACCAAGAAATAGAGCACTTTGGTAGCTCCGCGGGGGACGATTTTTTGTCTCCAAATTATTTAGAGTGTAAGAGTGCATATTTAGATCCGAGAAATTAAAATCCAGCCAAATCGTTTCGAGATGAAGACGATAATTGCCTTGGTTTCCGTGGTTTTGGTGCTCATTGTGCCGGGAATGTCGCAGATCTGCTCTAACGATTCAGACTGCTAACCTGAGCAATGCTGCCAGACTAGATCCGTAGAAATGGTAATATTTCCTGACTTCTAAGAAATGACAAATTATTTGTTCCTACATATACTTAATTAAATTCGTAAATAAATTTCACATAAATCTAAAACTTTAAATGTATCTAAAATCTTAATACTTGATTTTCAAACGTTCGTAAATATCGTCCAATCTTCTCAGTGGCGGGGCTAGTAGTGGGCACAAGTGGGCCCGTGCCCACGTGAAATTTTGTGCCCCTTTACACTAGATATTATTGAACTTTTTTCAAACCATAATGAGATAATCGTGGTGGACAAAAAAAGTAAACCTTGTTGGTCTTCGCTCACACGCTGCATTTACTTATCTGAGAATGCTGATCTGGAAGATTAGAACTATTTGATAAGATTTTATATAAATATTTTCCGTCTCAATCACTTTAATAATTTCATTTCAAACATTTGTAGGACGTCGTATTTGAAAAAATTTTACAAGTTTTGCAATGCATACAAAACTTCAAAATTTTGTTACAATTTTTAAAATATTTAAATTGTTAGAAATTTAAAACCAAATCAAAAATTCTAAAATTATGATTTTCAAGATCAGCCTAAGAATAATTGGAATGTAAATTTTTGAAAATTTACTGAGGTCTACCCAGTATCTACTATATGTATTAGCAAGGGATCTGAAAAATGGAATCTGCCTAACTGGTCCTCGCGTTCAGTATACCACTGTTTTTTCGAATCTTCTAGACGAAGGATTCATTAATATTTCTGAGTAACACTCATGCTAGTCGTGGTGGGGTGGCGCGAAATTTTACAAATTTGAATGTTTTATTTTTCAGACGACAACAACTTTTGAAATTCTAAACGGATTTTCAACATTTTTAAACGTATCGAAATCATGGTAAGGAATTGAACTTTCGCATGTCAAATTTCTCAAACAAGGGACTTTATAATTTTTTTGAAAAATTTCGTACTTCTCATATAAGAGAAGATTTTGGACGTTTTCTTAAAATATTGAATTTTGTGGTAATTTTAAGCCCAAGATTTTTTAAATCGCACGAAAACGGTGAAAGTTATGGAGATCTGAAATTACAGAGGGTGGTCCAAGAAGCTGTATAAATATTCCATAATTTTCCTAGCCAGCAGGCGGAACTTTATGGGTTTGAAACTTGCTGGATGTGATGGTCCTTGTTAGTATCTTTAAGAATATATCGCTTTTTATCCGATAAAAAAACTTCCAGGGACTTTTCTGTGGTGTTTTTCTTGCACTCATTATTTTAAGCGTTCCAAAGTACGTGAAAATTTGTAAATCCTCCAATGTAAAATTTATCATTCCACGACGAAACATCCGAAATAATCCAATCGATCAACGTCTGATGACCACCCAGGTATGTCTTGAGTTTTTATGACTGCAGAACCAAAATTATCGTCGTCC